GAAAGAATATACCTAACAAAAATAGGAAGTTTTTCTTCCAGATAATAATAATAACATATTCAGTCATGCACCAGATAACAACCTTTTCGTAAATGGCAAATCCCTATATGACAGTGGTCTATAAAGAGCATACAAGTTCTACCATGTAGCTTAGATGTGTAGTGGGTTATACCGTCAAGGTTTGTGTAAGTACACTCTATGATGCTCATACAACAAAATCACCTAATGATGCATTTCTCAGAACATATCCCTATAGTTAAGCATTATATGAATATAATGGCTTATAATTTTTACATGCTTCTAAAATACAAAACTATTTAAATATGTAGTCTAATATATAAATATTTAAATGGAATTTTACATCTTTTTTTAACCTTAGTACTTTCAATATTTATAGTGGAATCATTACACTGTTTTGATTAGATTCTTCTCATAAAAATATTTTCTTTAGAACAGAAAATATTTTTAACAAAAGGAAGGGAATTTTTTAGTGTGTACCTTACTCTTACTCAATTAGTCATCTCAGCTTCATTTACTCTTGATTTATTTATTGCATAACCTTGGGTGCATAAGCAGAATTTATTAACATTCTAGTTTTTATGAGATAAGATGAAAAGGTTGAAATTTATAATATTTTTAAATCTTTTGACAGTCTTGATACAAGAATCACATTTTCAGTCAAAATTATTGCTACATTAAGTTTGATTAAAGGAATAAAAATTAATTTTTCTATACAGCTTCTCTCTCTTTAATATATATAAATAACTTAAGTATTTGATTACATTATAAAATACTATCTTTTTAGATTAGTCCAATTGAGTATTGTTTTAAATTTATACATTATCTCCAAACTATATTTTCTGGAAAATACTTTTTTTCTTAAACATAATTAGCAAAGTTAAAGTCCAGCATATGATGGACAGGTCTCTTAGCTAGCCCTTCCTTTTCCATTTGTCTTCCCCTTCTCCCTATTGCTGTTATAGTGAGACCTATGCAGTGTTATGTTTGAAACATGGTTCTATTTGAGTAGAATTATTGAGTCTACATAAAACAATCATTTCACTTACCTTTAAAAAATAAGCCTAAAAAATTTACTTAATACTGAGTACAACGAAAGCCAAAAAGAAGAATCTCATTAAACAATACTATATACACACATATATAAAAGACTTTTAGACTTAAAAAAAAAATCTCTGAGACAAATTTGGTTTTCTGTTTGTTTGGTTAGGTATTTTTCAAGGGTCTCTTATACAATATTGGTATTATGAAGCAAGAAAGTTTTGATGTGACTCTTAGAATTTAATTTTCAAACTTGATAAGCTAGGGTGAGTAATTATTGATGGAAAAGCAAACTTGTTTTTATATAAGAAATACTAGAAATAGTAGACGATTCCCTATATCGGGCACCAGAATTTTTTCTAAAGCATATGTCCCATAGAATTTGGTGCTCTGGAACCACTGGACGTATAGTTTTCCTGGGAGTTGATGCTAACAGTCAACCTAGACATGGGGCAGGGAGGAAATCTTAGATAAACACACACACACATTATATATATATATATATATATACACACACACATTATATATATATATACACACACACACACACAATATATATATATATACACACACACACACTATATATATATATACACACTTTACATATATATAGATACTTTTGTCTTTATTTTTATCTTTATTTTTCTTTATGAAAGGGACATGAGGAGAGAGAGGAAGAGAGACACAGTTTTATTTATTTATTTTTTAAAATTTACTATTGGGCATGTACACTCAGCAGAGACAGACAGACAGATAGCCAAAGTGAGAAAGCATCCCCAGTAGGGAATAATCACACTGTAGTCTTCCTCTATCTCTCCCTTCCTTTGGAATTTTGGGCCCACATGCATATGTGCCCAGTGTATTTTTCAAGCTGCCTGGTTGAAACTTAAACTCCACAGTCAGCCATGTGGGATCTAGTTGCCTTAAGTACCACACTGCCCACTGGCCTGAAATATCCAGTAAGTGAATCCATGCCTCCCTTGCACTTCCCAGCCTCCCAAGAAGTGTCCCTACCTGGGCACCACCACCGCTGAGCCTAAACATCTTTATCTTTTTGTAGAACATTTCAGTAGAATATGTAGAAAATCTTTCCTTTTATTTTACTAACCTTTGTTACACCGGAAGTTTTAGTGTTGGGTCATTGGGAAAATTATGATGTATTTTTCTATGCAAAAAATGTATTTTTCTATGCAAAAATGTATCCTGACTTGGGACCAGCAGTTAGCGTAATGGCTATGTCGCTGGACTCCCACGTAGTCGACCGCGGTTCAAGTCCTGGATCCGACAGATTAAACTCATGCCGGGCACGTGTGCATGCGTGCCCAAGATTCCGAGAGGAGAATGGAGGAGAAGGGATTGCGGTGTGGCCATCCCCCTCGGGGGGTGATTTCTCGCTTTCTATCTCTCTGTCTCTCTCTGTCTTTCTGGCGAGCACACGCGCCCTATAGCGAAAACCTCTTCAAAAAAAAAAAAAAAGCATCCTGACTTTTCTGGCAATCCCTTTACATAAGTGACTAAAAGAAATTCCCATATGTCCACGGAAACAGAAAACATTTATTCCAATCAAGGCTATTTGTAGCTTTATATCTGTCAGAAGGTAAATAGTCTTTTATTTTCCTTTTGTACTTTTTATTCATTTATTCATTTTTATTCAATTTCTTTTGAACCATAGCGTGGATTAAATATTTTGGTTCAACATGCAGTAGTATGATTTATTAGAAAATATATAGAACTTACTTAAAGTGGGAAGAATTGGGTTGCCCCCTTGAGCAGTTCATCTACATTGACTTGAGCAAACTGTTTTAATGTCCTACTAATCATGACAGTAAATTGAAACTGATGATTTCTTCCACATTTCTATCCTAGGCTTTTTGCAAATATCAAATTATATGTTTACAAAAACATTTGATAAACTGTACACAACTATTAAAAATTGTTGGAAAGATGATGAACATATTAAAATCATTTTGCAGCCTTCATAAATTTAGTGATACTGAAAAGCAAGCAAGACATTTCATTTACTAAAATGTTTCCACTTTATAGAGTTTTATAGAGTGGTATTCACTGACTATATGTAATATAAATAGATAGAGCAATGTAATGATCCCTGGCTATAAAGCATAAAGTAGTTTTTCCATAGTACTAGGTTTTAAAAGGTGTAGCTTCAAAGCTTTTACTCATTTACTAATCTTTTCTGGAAAAATACCTTACACCCATATCATCTCTTTTTTCCAAAGTATTTCAAAAACTAATATTGGCCCAGCTGCAGTGGCACAAGCCGGAGGGTGCTGCTGTGTGATGGCTGAGGCTACATAAGACTACTGGTCTGGGCCAACCTAAACGGGTGGGGCAGGGTAGCACAGGCCTGTGGTCCTAGCTCACTAGGAGGCCAGGGCAGGAGGGTCATAGTGTAGCAAGACCCTATCAAAAAGAAATAAAATCCCTCTCTTTCTGTCCTTCCTGCACACGAATACTCTTTCTTTCTCATTGAACAACAACAACAACAAATTAAAAATAAACAGATAATACCACATTTATTTGTCCCATTAATGCTTTACCTCTCACTTCTTCTTCTAAATGTACTTCCTCAGACTCTACTCTTTCACTCACCCTATATATGGTATTCACATCCATTTCCTGTGGTATTAGCTGTTGAAAATAATTTTATACTTTATCAATGGACTAGGGAGAAACGTTCACATGTTGAAATATTCACTTTGTAAGCTAAATAATGTGATTGAACATATAAAAGAAAATGAAATATAAAGTAAATAAATTTTAAAAATTAAAAATAAAAACTAGCATTAACCAAAACAAAAGACTTACTGGGAATGTAGCAAAGATAGGTTCATGTTCACATCTGTGTGAGAGATAATGAAATCATTTCTTTTCTTTTTTCCTTTTTTTTTTTTTGAGAGAGGTTTTTCACTATAGGGCATGTGCGCTTGACAGACAGACAGAGAGAGACAGAGAGACAGAAAGCGAGAAATCACTCTCCCATAGGGGACGGCCATGCCGCAATCCCTTCTTCCTCCATTCTCCTCTCGGGATCTTGGGCACGCACGCACACGCGTCCAGCGTGGGTTTTAAGCCACTGGGTCCGGGATGCAAACTGCAGTCGACTACGTGGGAGTCCAGTGACATAGCCATTACGCTAACTGCTGGTTCCCTGAAATCATTTCCTTTTCATATGCATCCAGCTTGGTAGCTCATCTGCTTTATTAGTACACTGCAGTATGAAAGTTAGCTTGGATTACTAATGATCACACCTTCCAAGTTCTTAATTTAGTCGATAACCCTCAGAATTTCAGAAAAACAAATTTTTTTGTTCTATGTATAGAACTTTAATTTTACATAGTTTTGAAAACAGATCATTATAAATGACCCTGAATTTGCTACCTTTCACTAATTTGGGTATTATGCAAAGAAGCTAGGTACTCTAGACCCATTGAAAAAGTCATTTGAGGGATTCTCTTTCTCTTTTTCTTTTCTTTCTTTCATTTTTTTTTTCTTTTAATTAATTTTTGCTACAGGGCCCATGTGTTTGGGGAGAGAGAGAGAGAGAGAGAGAGAGAGAGAGAGGGAGGGAGGGAAAGGGAGAGAGAAAGTGAGAAAACACCCCCAGGAGGATGGTCATCCCTTCTATATTCTCTTTGGATATTGGACATATGCATACATACACCTGACATGTTTTTGTAGCCACTAGGGCTAGGACTTGAACCACAGCCAGCCACGTGGGATTTAGCTGCCTTAACCACCATGCCATCTGCTGGCCCTGGGATTCACTTAAGAGAGTCAGAACAAAATATTTTTATTATGGTAGGGTAGGGGTTTTTGTTTGTTTAATCTAAATATTCTTTATAAAAGTTGGGCTCTGATTTCTCTCAATCAAACATTAATCTGTTTTTAATATTTATATATTCACCCATTTCATTTTTTAGGAGATTTTATGAAGATGGGGCAATTGTCTTGGGTGAGGAAGCAAATATGCTTGCTGGTATGCTGCTTGGGCTCAATGCCATTGATTTCAGGTATTTAATATCACCAAATGCATTCCATTTTTTAATAATTCTACTTCGTAATCATTCCTACTTATGACATTTTTCTTTTAGTTCTCTTAGTTCTCTTAAGTAAAACAAATAGTTGGATATTGATATTTGATTCAGTTATGAATCAGTTTTCTATCAGTTTGTTCTCAGAAAAGCGTGTCTCCAACTTAAAGAACTGACAGGTTTGCTCTCTGGCTTGCGTAAAAGGAAAGTTAGTACCCTGGCAATATGGAAGAAAGATTCTGAATCTTTTAGTAAATATTTTTCAGCTACTGCTTTAAAATGAAAAGAAATAAACTAAAAGTAGATTCAATGCCAGAAAGATTCTTTATTATCTCATTTGTTGAAATCCTGATATGGTATCTTGGGTGTCTTATGTTCCTTGTGTTATGTATCTTCTGTCATGTAGGTATGTATATTCTAATAGAAAGTAATATTGTTAATTTTTGCTTCTATCATCAATAATACAAATTGTTTTGGGACTACAATAATAAGTGCTGAGAATGGACAGTGTAAATTGAGTTTTTTTAGATTTGTTATGGAAGCATCCTTTTGCATTTCTTTAATCCCAGATTTTATGTTATATTAAAAGATATTTGTACATAAGAAAACTCAAACATAAAAATGAAGGAAACATTCTATTTTTTCTAAAATATTATTTGAAAATTTAATATTAACAAAATAGGTATAAGACTTAAATGAAAATCTATGCTTAGGTCTTAAAAATAATGCTCACTGTTTTCATTGCCATCTCTTTGTAGTAAATCACTTCCTTTTCAAATATTTGATACCTTTTAAATCTAACTTTCCCTTAGCTAAGATTTAGTGAACTAATAGTAGGGTAATTTGTTTAATTGTTTAGCATGAACAGACAGAAGGGGTATGAAGGTTATCTATTTGATCCCTCTAAAGAGGTTAACTTTTTACATAAATAGCACTGGTTATCTAAGTCCTTTATAATCTTTAGGTCTTTTTGTTTGTTCGCTTATTTTTGCTTAATAAAACAAACCTGAGATAAGAATGTTAACTGTTCATTTAGTATAACCCATTGATATTATATAATCAGATGAAAGTAAATGTCTTAAAGATACATTAATGTTTCTAGGAAAGCCCATAAAAATATTGTCAATTTGATTATTTCCTTATTGAAGTGTGAAGTCTGAAAAAATATATACATACCTTCCATATTAATATACAGAGTAAGTATTTTAGTAGGAGAATTTCTGAAAAAGTAGGAATTCAATCAGTGAATTTTTTCTATCGAAAGAATATTACAAATGTTCCTACGTGTATCTTCCTGAAAAGTCTTTTTTTTTTTTTTTTAACAACAGTAATCGTGAAACCAATGTCTTTTTCTTTCTTCTCATTGTATGCAACTTCATATAAAGACAAATTACTGGATTGGGAGACCAGATCTAAAATTCCTTACTGGCTCTACAAATTCAGAAAATGACTTTGAGCAAGTCATTTAAACTTTTTTCTTGTTCCCATTGTTTCAAAAAGGATTGACTGGATATTAGAGGATTTTCTGCATCCTTTGTAGGTCTAAGATGTAAGTCTTTTGACTGATTCACAGACTTTAGAAAACCCTTTTTTGTAATGTGTCATCTTTTTTAGGGTATAGGAGATATTCATACCACCTGAGAATTTGTATATAAATGCGAAGGACAACTGTCATTTGAAAATTCTCTAGTGACATCTTGAAAACCCAATAGAGATCAAAATAGTATCAAATAAAGAGAGAAGGTTGAACAGAGTTTTCAGTAAATCTTATTTTTGCTTGCTACATTTATTTAATAGTGTACTGACTTGTGCAGTGCTCTTTCATTGGTATTGAAGGTAGAATATTTTTATTGAGTTATTTGTTAAAGTAAAATTAAACTGCAAACAAAAGCGTTCACCAGCAATTTGATGAAAGAAGTGTCTCTAGCAAAAGGTTGATTATAACTCTTAACTTTGATTTAAAATTTTATGTATGAATATGGATTGTTTATTCTTTGTCTTAGCTTCTGCCTAAAGGGAGAGGGATTGGATGGCAACTTTCCTGCTGTGATAGACTATACGCCTTATTTAAAGTTTACTCAAAGGTATTAATCTTTTGAAATATGTTATTCAAATCTTAATTTATAATTAACTGTCTTGTGCACTGTTCATCTAATTAAAACTCCTTTGTACAAAACATTTGTTTCAATATCAAAATCACTGAAGGATTCAAACTCCAGTTGCATTTTTAGTATTTATGTAAATAAACACATTATACACAGTTGTGATACCATCATCTGGCTTTTTAAATAACCAAAACATTTTTTATATTGCTATAATCTTTATAAATAATTTTAATAGTTCTGAAATAGACCATTGAGATTTCAAAATGGTAATTCACTAAGTTGTTTTTCAATTTATTTCCATTAGAGAGAAGGGAATAATGAACATCCTTGTATCAATCAATTTTCCTCTTTTTATTGTAAATTGCCAGTTATTCAGATAAATTCAGTGAAAACTTTCATGACTCTGAGAGTGTATCTTTATAAGAGTGTTGTATGAATGTATCCTACTTCTAGGATCGTGTGAGCAGTCGCTATTTCTGATAATCTCAATAGTGTTGAAATTTAATCATAATAAATTTATAAATATTTTTAATTTTTTAAGAGCTATTTTTGCTATAGGGTGCATGCACTTGCTAGTGACACAGAGAGCCAGAGAGAGAGAAAGTGAGAAATCATCTGCCAGGGGGATGGGTCATGCTACACTCCCTTCTCCTCCATTCTCCTCACAGGACTTTGGGTATGCATGTGTAAGTTTGAAGCTGCCAGGTCCAGGACTCGAACTGTAGTCAACATGTAGGGGTCCAGCACCGTAACTACAATACCACCTGCTGTCTCAAAATTTATAGATACTTTTCAGGTCTGCTTGAAAAATTGATTTCTTGAATAGGATGATTATCTTTCTTTCATATATTTCTATCAGGCCAAAATTAGGTACTCTGTGTGTGTTGTGTGTGTGTGTGTGTGTGTGTGTGTATGCAAAAAAAAATCTATCTATCTATCTATATAAAATATATGGACACAGGAAAACATTCAAGATACAGTTACTGAGTGCCTACAGTAGGAAAGAAATTTTTAAAATAGGAACTTAGTACTTTTTACATTATCTCTCTCTTTCAATTTAATAGGATCAATTTCACAGGATTTTGAGGATTAAAAAGAACAGCAACCTTGTTCCCAGGATAATCACCCTTTAGAAAGAGAAGTCGCTAATAGTATGGCTAGGAAATGATGATGTTTTAAATGGTGAGGCAGAAAGAATACACTATCATGACAGCAAGATTTCTAACTTTAGTAAAATGGATCCCTTGGAAAAAGGAACAATCCTAGTACATTAAATCCAGAAAAGAAATACAAGATGATATTTTGAGCGAGCATAAAATTACACTGTGTTGGGATATGTTGGAGTATAAGACATTTTGTGAGGGTGACTAACAGTATAATGTAATAAGAACAATAATACAATATTTACTGAATGTTTAGTATCGGACATTATTCTAAGTGCTTTACTTTTATTAATTCGTTTAATTCTCAAAAGCCAGAGAGGTAGGCACTGCTGTCTCTATTTTACAGATGTGAAACCTGAAACACAGGTGAAATAACCTGTTCATGGTCACAAAAATAGTTGTGGCAGAGTGGGAAGAAGTCTGGAGTTCAATCGTGGTTTGGACAGCAAGATTGACTTACTGACTTGTTTACATCAAAAGTCCAAAATAAATTAAAGATGAATCACTTGGTTTCAGATGTGTTTCATATGTATATCATATATTTGAATTTTGTTTTGTGACAGTTTTTTTCCTCTTAATGTGAGATTTTAGTCTATTCATATGTATTGACTTAAAATATGTATTTGGTCTTATTCTTTTCTGTCCGTTTATGTTATGCTCTCTGGTTTCATCACTACATGATCTGTTTTTGGTTGTTGTTATTGTAGCAATTTTTGTCTTTATACTCTTATTGTCAATGAGGTTGTAATTTTGACCTGGAGACTATTAATTACCATAATTATAATTGCTAACGTCATGAATAATTTTAGCTATAGATTGTGATAAATTTTGGGGGGCAGGGAGGAAAGCTTTTTGCTATAGGGCGCATGCACTCACCAGAAAGACAGAGAGAGACAGAGAGACAGAAAGCAAGAAATCACCCCCCAGGGGGGATGGCCATGCCACAATCCCTTCTCCTCCATTCTCCTCTTGAGCATGCATGCACACATGCCCGGTGTGAGTTTAAGCCACCGGGTACAGGGCTCAAAGCAGTCAACTACATGGGAGTCTAGCGACATAGCCATTATGACAACTGCTGGTCCCATGTGATAGATATTTTTACTCTGCTCTACTTCTGCCCTTCCTTCCCCCTCCTGAAAGAAAATGCTTAGGAGTGACTGGTTCCATTGAACCTGTTGTTAGCTTCTCTTTGCTAAAACTAAGCTGACAGTGAACACTGCGTTGTTATACCCCACTGACATTACCCAGTGGTGGTTTTTCTATCTTAAAGTGGAGACTGGATGGTCAGTAATCTGCCTAGGGCAGTGAAAAGAATCCAGATAGAAAGCTCTTTTCAGCACTTTTGGAGTTTCTAATTCTCTGGGTATCTTTTCTCTCTCCTCAGGGCATTATCACAGGTTCTGTATTAATTCCTTAGATTTATAAAACTCACTTGAACTTCTGTGGCATCTTTAGGTTAGAGGGGGCCAGCAGACCTGCTAGCTTGCTATTTGTTTCAGAAAACTAGACTTTATAATATCATTATTATAATTCTGTATTATCATTAAGTATTTTGGAGTTTATTCACCAGCATCTTGCAAATACTGAAGTGTTTAAGAATCAAATATTAACTTTACTTTTTAAAAATTTTCATCTTGCCAGTTCTGATAGTATCAGCAGCGATGAGGAGGAGCTAAGGACCTGGGGAAGCAGTGGTAGTGAAAGCAGCACTCCAGAGAATGTTAGACCTCCTTTCGTCATGGATGAGAACACTTGGTTCAACAAGTGTAAGAGAGTTAAACAAAAGTACCAACTTACTCTGGAACAGAAGGTATTTATCAATGGTCATTTGAGGAGTCCAGGACATATTCGTCTTCATAAAAAAGTTAACTTGTGTACTGAATCAGAGGATTATATACCCACAGCTCCCTGAATCTAACACAGATGCTGTTATGTCCACTGTTAATGTTTAAAATCTCAAAGTGAAGAGTAGAATAGTGGTTAGAGGCTAGGGAGGCTGGGGAGAGGAGGGGATTAAGTTATGGTTAGTTAGGAAGAATAAATCTGGCATTTTCCTGCATAATAGAGCAACTATATGAGGCAGTCTTCAAAACAGTTCACTGAAAATAATGTATTATGAAAAAGCTGCATAGATTTCAAAGTTTTTTGGCAATAAAAAGAACCTGTACTTTAATCCTACTTTTTTGAATTTTTTTAAATCTCTTCTTGGGTAGATTTTGAATGTTCTTAGCACAAATAACAAAAGTTTGAGGTGATGAATACATAGATTACCCTGATTTGATCATTACACACTGTACATATGTATAGAAAATCAAATTATAACCCATAAATATGTACAATTATTTTGTGCTAGTTAAATTTTTTAAAAATTCCTTAATTTTAATGTACTTACTACATTTGGACTGCTACTGCCAGATCTTTTAACTGAATGAAATGATTTACTCATTGCTACTTCTGTTCTTGAATGGTATTCCTCTTCTTATTTACTTAAGAGATTTTTGCTATAGGGTGCGTGTGCTCTCCAGAGAAACAGAGACAGAAAGTAAAAAAATCACCCCTGGTGGGGAGGAGGATGGCCACGTCCCAATCTCTTCTCCATTCTTCTCTCAGGATTTTGGGCACACATGCACACATGCCTGGTGTGACTTTCAAGCTACCAGGTCCAGGATTTGAACCATGGTTAAGCCACACGGGAGTCCTGCACCCCAGTCACCAAGCCACCTGCTGGTTCTTGTCTGCTTCTTATTAATAATGAAAAGTCAACCAAAATTTTAGGAGAATCTTTGGTTTGTTAACTTTTTTCTAATTTTGTATTTTAATATAAAAGCAAACCATTCATCTGTAAAATGTTTTATATATTTGAAACTTTTAGCCTATGACTAATTTTATATAAAATTATGAAAATGCAGTGATTTCCAGGCACATATATGTCTGTGGAGTTCTGTTTATTTTTAATTCAGTATCTTAGCAGCTCTTGTGTGTTAAGCACTGTACAAGCCAAAGTGGGATGTACAACAGAAAGTAATCTCCAATACCTCAAGGAGTTTGTGAGCTTTACTTTTTTTTTAATCATATCTTCTTTTTTTGTGTTTGTTTTGATTGCCAGAGAATGTGTGTGCTTGTCAAAGAAAGAGAACAAAGCCTCCAGTGGGAATGGTCATACCACAATCCTTATCATCCATTTCTCTATCCCTTTAGGATTTTTGGAAATACATTCATTTGTGCCTAGTGAGTTTTTCAAGCTGCCAGAACCAAGATTTTAACCATGGGTTAGTCATAGGGTTCTGGCTCCCTATACACAGCACTTAACTGCTGCACTATGGAGCCAGCCCTATGACCTTTAGTTTTTTACTGTATTATCTCTTTTTCCCTTCTCTCCCTTCAAACTTATAATTTTTCATAGATTACATGTATATACCTACATATATGTATTTCTGCATATATATGGAAATCCTCAGTCGAATTAAACAGAAGTATTGGAAAAATTTAAAAAATACACTGAGGTGCCAGCAGGTGGCATGGTGGTTAAGGTACTGGATTCCCACATGCCCAACCATGGTTTGAATCCCAGACCTAGTGGCTTGAGAATCATGCTGGGCATGTTCACATGCATGGCCAAAATCCGAAGAGGAAAATGGAAAAGGAATTACAGTATGACTGTGCCCCTTGGGAGATTATTTACTCTTTCTTTCTGTCTTTCTCTGGTGAGCACACATGCTTTTTGGCAAAACAAAAACAACAACCCCCACCCTCCCAAAAAAAACTGAGGAAAATGATTATAAAATGAATTTACATATTAATATTTTTTCTATATATAAATAGCAACTGCTTAGAAAATATAAAGAAACATATCACAATTATAATAGCTCCAAATAGTTGTATAATCTATACAATGAAAACTTTCATATTCTATTAAAGGAGACTTCTGATACTAGCAGGAAGTCAGACTAAGATAATCTGAATGTCTTTCCATTGCAAAAAACCTGAAAATGCTAATTAGGATATATTTTCAAAAAAGTTTTATGTAGAGCTATTCTCTCAAAGAAAAGGAATTCACAGGGACCATATAAGTGCCTGAAAATAAGAGGAAAATGTGCATGCATTAATACAACTGCAGGCCTCAGAAGTGTAGATGCTGGTACAATCCTTTAACCCAGGTACTTGTGTTTTAATACCAACAGGTGAATAACAGACATAGGTCTACTATCAAGGTAAAAACTGAGGGGCTGGCAGGTGGTATGGTGGCTAAGGTCCTGGACTCCCACATGGCCAACCACAGTTAGAGTCCCTTACCTCATGGCTTGCTTTCTCCCTTTCCCTTTCTCTCACTCTGTCTCTCTCTGGTCAAATTAAATAATAAGAAGAAATAAAGTTAAATAAATAAATTATTCTAAAAAATTATTTTATAAAGATAGAAAATGAACCTAGAATGCAGCACACACCCTCCAATAATTAGAGAGTAATTTTACTCTTATGTTGATGCCTAGAAGACTTAGATGAAGAGTTTTATAAATATTACCAAACCAATATCCCTACAACCATTTAAAAAATTAAACAGTTTCAAATCTATCTTCCCCATGCCAAGAAAAAAAAAGATCAGATTTGTATGGTTTTGAAGGAAATTTCTACCAAATATTTAAATGTCAGTGATTTCTACTTTATACTGACTGTACTTATGACAGAAAAAGAATAAATATTTTTCAATGAATTTAATGAATCCAGGATAACTTTGATACTAATATAAGCAATATACATATAATTTCAGATGGGAATGTGAGTAGTATAAAAATATAAAAACAATAGAAAGAATAACTTGGCATTATGTAGTAAATGTGAACTTGAGCATGGCCCATGCCCCAGCAAGTTTACACTTAAATGTATCTCCTAAAAACTCTTGGATATGTATTCCGGGAGATATGTAACTGAGTGTGTGAACACCAATATTGTTTATATTGAGAAAAACTTAAAATAATCCAAATGACCTTTCACAAAAGAGTGAAGAAACTATAATGTTTATCCACTGACTATCATAAAGTATTAAAAGTAAATAAGGAATAGCTATACTCATGACAGTAGATACAAAAAGCAAGTTAACAAAGACTATAGAGAAATCCCAGAAAAACTAAACAATATATTGTTTAAGAAAACTAAAAAGAAAAGCAACAAAATAATGAACACACATCTAAGGATATTGTTATCTTTGTGGGAAATAAAAGGGTGTGTTCAGGGAAAGGCATTCTATTGGCTTTTAAAGTATTGGTTACTTATCTAGGTGATAGGTATATAAGTGTTCTTTAATTACTGTTTATAAATACTCGCATACAGTTTATTATTAAGCTGTGTATGTGAGAAATATCTTGTAAAAACTTACTTTTAATATTTGAAATTTTATTATGAAAAAAATATTTGAGGATTGTCAGGAAAACAAAATCTGAAAAAGGAGCTCATGAGGGGAGAATGAGTTCCTTTTACCATGTATCATAAAGCTAAAATAACTGAAACAATTTGTTAATGACATGTGAATAGAATAACATGTAATGGGATAGAAGAGTACTTGAACAACAAAAAAATTCTAATTAACATCTTCAGAGGAATTTGAAAGCACACTGCAACTAAAAAGAGTAGAATGCCATGAGAAGGGAATGGGTAAAAAGCATGAAAGAGCTAATGAAAATTAAAAACATGATCTCCTGAATTCTAAACATCAATATAAGGTTTTGGAGATAAATTCAATAATTCCCAGAAAGCAGAGAAGAACAAAGAAACAGTAAATGGGCAAAATGCTGAGACAGTGGGTACACCAGAAGGTCCATATTTGTTAGGTATTAGCTAATAACAGCAGGTGGTAACTACATATTGCATACAATGTGCCAGGCACTGTTCTAAACAGTGTACCTATATTGACTTATTTAAGCCTACCAATCAGGTAGTCATATTGTTTCCACTTTTTTTTTTTTTTTTTGGAGAGGTTTTTGCTATAGGGCGCGTACGCTCGCAAGACACACAGAGAGAGACAGAGAGACAGAAAGCGAGAAATCACCCCCCGGGGGAATGGCCACATCGCAATCTCTTCTCCTCCATTCTCCTCTCAGGAGCTTAGGCACGCACGCACACGCGCCCGGCGTGAGTTTTAAGCCACCGGGTTTGGGACGCGAACCGCGGTGGACTATGTGGGAGTCCAGCGACACAGCCTTTACACTAACTGCTGGTCCCTTGTTTCCACTTTTTTAGGTGATGCACTAATAGCACAGAGAAGTTAATTAACTTGCCCAAAGACACATAGCTAGTATGTGGTAAATCTGGCTATGACAGTAGGCAGTCCCTAAGTCCCAAAACATTTTACTGCCTCCTGCTAACATGTTAGCACTAAAATGTTAGTAACTATTTTTGAAAACCGATCACATGGAAGCAGCTTTCTAATTAGCCATTTTGTAATTAGGTCTATTTTGGACATAAGAGCATGCATCTATCACCAATGTAAAACTTAGAAATGACAAATATCTTATTTAAGTTTGCCTTAAATGTAAAACATTTTTTCTGACTTTGAAGAAGAGCTTTAAATCAACAGAGAATATATATTAAGTTTTTATATTAAATTAAAATTATTTTTTTTACTAATTCCATCTGTAATATTTTGAAATGCTTTCATTACAATAGATAGGAATATTTAAGCTTCTCAGCATTTATCTTTCAGGTAAATATTAGAATTCCTCAGTTGCTTTATCTTGGTGGTAATGTATTTCCAGGGTTATCTTGAAGAACTCTTACAACTTCGAGAGAATCAACTGTCTGAATCTGTCTCCCAGAATAAAATATTGCTTCAAAGGATTGAAGATTCAGATCTGGCCCATAAACTAGAGAAGGAACAATAAGAGTACATAATCATGGAGCTTCAAGATCAGCTGTAAGTAAGATCTTTTTAGAAACATTGCCAAAAGTTGTGTTGACATAAGGTTCAAATTCCAAGAAATGATTTCTTGCTAATAAATTATTTTCTACTCACTCTTTTAAAAGTTTACTTTTGTTTTGTTTATTATAAAATGTTCATTTCAGGAACATTAGAAAATACAAGAAAATTAAAATGGCATTTGGTTGTGTCACCCAGAGTTAACTGTTTTGAAGTTATAATGTTAACAGTTAACTGGAATGGGCCAGCAACTGATGTGGTGGTGACTGGATCCCACATGGCTAACTGTGTGGTTTGAGTCCTGGACCTTGCGGCTTCAAAAAATGCACTGGCACATATGCATGCATGCCTGCAATTCTGAAAAGAGAATCAAGAAGGGATTATGGTGTGGCCATTGGCCCTGGGATTGGTCGCTCTCTCTCTCTCTCCAGGGAGTGCACACGCCATATGAGAAATACCTAGCAAAGTGTTCTGAAAAACAAGTAAAATAATTCAACATAATGTTTAGCATTAAAGGGAACAAACACTACTGCAAGGACTTAATAGTCCAAGTGATGAAGCGAAGGTTTGCTAACCACTCTGAGGACTGAAATATTTAAGAATCGAAATATTAAAATAGTTAAGAGCTAGGAATGATTCTAGCTTTTCTTGCAAAGACTGAGCTGCCCCTTTTCTCAGTCTTCATTTTTTTTTGCTATAGGGCACGTGTGCTCGCCAGACAGACACAGAGAGACAGAGAGACAGAAAGCGAGAAATCACCCCCCCCCAGGGGGGATGGCCACGCCACAATCCCTTCTCCTCCATTCTCCTCTTGGGATCTTGGGCACGCACACACATGCACCCGGCATGAGTTTTAAGCCACCGGGTCCGGGACACGAACCTCAGTCGACTACGTGAGAATCCAGTGACATAGCCATTATGCTAACTGCTGGTCCCTCAGTTTTCCTTTTGTCTGATTTCATCTAGCATAGCCTGAAATCTATTAAGAGCCAGGTTTCCCACTTTCATGATGAGGTCCTCTGTCGTTTGGCCCTGTCCTGGGTCTCTTGGAGCTTGACTTTCGTGTTGTTGATACATTCCTGAATCCCATAACCAGCTGGTTGTTTCCTTCATTTTCTTGGTGCTATTCATCTGATTCATTTAGCTTCTCCTGTAGCTGTCTCTCTAGATCTACCTCAGTGTCAAGGGTGTTTATATCTTCTTCATCTTGGTGCTGTCTCTCGTCTTTAGCTTCACTGCTGCTGCTGAGGTCATTGACTATTCTCGAAGCTCCTTGTGTTCTAGGGAGTCATGGCCTTGCCTATGACTAGACATTTCAGGAAAGGGGATATCAAGGCTCTGATTTTCTATTTCTTTTGTTTCATCTTCAGTGTTTCCCAATGAGTACTGACAGCCTCCGCACCTGTACTCAGCAACCGTTTCACTTCTTTTTCCACATATGGAGACTCAGTATACTTTTTGGCTGTCTTCCAGAACCTTCTCTTTCTGGCATGTTTTAGAAGCAGAGTAATTCCATGGTTCCAGACTTTTTAAACTTTTTCTTTGTCCTTGTCCTTCTTCTTGCTTGCTTTGGGGTCAGCAGAAGCAACCAGCAACTCCACAGGAGAATAGACATCACCAGTGACTGGCTACAAGACAGATATCAACTGTCTCGTGAAAGGTTTTATCAGTGGTTTTCAGGCTTTCCAAAACACAGGGCAGAACTAACAATTTTGACAAAACGAATGAGTAGTTCAAGTGCTTTACAATGCCAAAGAGCTTGTACCAGAATGTACCTCAGCTTTCTTGATAAAAAAAGTCATGCTACTAGCTCTAGACTGAGACTGTGGAGTTGTGGAGCTGCTGAACTTGATGGTCAGAGCTAGGGGGTTCTGCTGCACTGAGCTGCTTGAAATGCTTTTTTTCAATTGGTTGTTGGTGAAAATTTTTAAACATTAATGTTTATATAATCTTAAAGAATGGTTTTCAAATTTTTATTTGAAATAATTTCAAACTTTCAGAAAAACCACAAAGATAGTACAGAAAATTCCCCCATATGACCTTTCTTAGATTCATCATTTTTCAACATTTTTCTACATTTGATTTATTCATCTCTCCAAATACACATACATTTTTTAAAAAATAATTATCTTGGGACCAGCAGTTGACGTAATGGCTATGTTGCTGAACTCCCACGTTGTAGGCCACGATTCAAGTCCTGGACCTGGTGACTTAAACTCACGCCAGGCACGTGTGCATGCATGCCCAAGATCCCGAGAGGAGAATGGAGGAAAGGGGATTACTGTGTGGCCATCCCACCTGAAGGGTGATTTCTTGCTTTCTGTCTCTGTTTCCCTCTGTCTTTCTGGAGAGCACACATGCCCTAGAGCAAAAACCTCTCCAAAAACTAAAATAAAATAATAAAATAAAATAATTATTTTATTTAACTTTTTAAAGTAATTATTTTAATTTGATCAGAGATGGACAGAGAAAGAAAGAAAGAAAGTGAGAAAGCAAGCTGTGAGGTCTAGGACTTGAACTGTGGTTGGCCATGCAGGAGTTCAACACCCTACATGTGTGGTTTTCAACCACTTGAGAAGCTACATACATCAAATGTTTCAGTGTGTCTTTCCTAAGAACAAAGGTATTTTACACAGCTATAGCAATTTAAGAAATTTAAATTGGTACAGTGCTTTCATTTTATATTAATTTGTAGAATTAATATTCCAAATTTGTCAATTGTCCAAATAATGTCCTTCATTGCAACTTTTGTTTTTGTGGTACCAGATCCAAATCAGGATCATGTTTTGAATTTGTCAGTCTCTTTAGTCACTTTAAATTTAAAATACTTTCTCAATCTTTGTTTCACATGAGATAGATATTTCTGAAGAATACAGTCTAATAATTTTATAGAACATCCCTTGATTTGTGTTTGACTACTTTTTTCTCATGTTGGGAATGAGCTTATCCATTTGGGGCTGGAATACAACATAAATGGCATATTCTCTTCAAGATATGACATCCAGAGGCATGTGAAGCCTGTAGGCCCTTCATTAGTGATACTAATTTTCATCATTTTGTTACGTGTTTTCTCTTCTGTATAATTACTTTTGTTCCTTTTGTAATGAACATGGTTTTAAATTTTTTTCCAAAACTGTATCCAGCTTTATTTAAGATACTTTTCATAAACATCATGGTATTTCAGGCAGGACCTGGGCAGACAGTAGTTAACAGTATACAACTTTCAAACTCCCTTCTTCAATGGACTACCTAAAAGCAGAAAGACACTATAAAATCCAATGAAGTCTTCATTTGATGCTCTGAACAGGGAAAGTTTAGAGTGAGGGTTGACATTTCACATTTAGCATGTTGTTTAACAACAGACTGCCTTCTGCCATGTGGGACTTGGCTTCTCTTAAGCAGTGTATCACTGTTGTACCATGGATTTGGCCCAAATATGGCATTTGTAAATAAAAATGTTTTACTAAGGAATAAGAAAATTTAATGTTTCCTACAAATGTGTAGCTTCATGAAAAGAAGTATTTCTACATATTGTTTCTTCTATTTTTTCTGGTATTGTAAAGATAGTTTGCTCTATCTACTACTCATTGAAGGGCAGGATAACACCTTCTGTAGTCCTTTGCTTCCATTAATCAAAAAGAAGACTATCAAGAGCCAAAAAATAAAGGTTTCTGGTTATTACTTTGCTTCTCTGCTGGCTCTGTATTAGGGCAGACATTGAGCTCCTTCTCTGATAGGACACTCCAAATGTGCTGAAACTGCCCCTCCCCAATTCACCCATAAAAGGCTATGTCCAATTCTCAGCTGGGGCCAGAGATGCAGAGTATTAATTCCTCTATCCTCTATGCCCACTGGTGTGATAAAACAGTTCTCCTGTCTCTCTGAGTGCCATTTCTATTCCTTGGCATCTGGTTTTCTGCAACATTTTGGTACATTGGACAGGAAGTGGAATCAGGCTGGCCCTTTGAGCCACTGATCCCAGGGTGTACCCCCTCTGAGATGGGCACTACAGTGTGGAGAGATAGGTGTACCCCATCTCATTTGATGGGATTCCTCAGCTGGGATACCCACCCCAAAGCCAAGTGTGCCTGGATCATCAGACTCTGGTTGGAGAGAAGGACCAACTCCTGGACCATGATGCATCAACCCTTGTCAACTCTGATAAATCTGGTAAGCCCCCGAGGATTGGTAGAGCCCTAGTCAGGCAGACCTACTCTGACTGAGTAGAAGAAGAGACCTGATCACTCTCCTTCAGTTGCAGGACCAGCAATTAGAGCTCATCTGGTAATTGGCTGGTGTGAAGAGGGAGTGTTTAACCTCTGAGTGAATGTGAGTGTTTGTAATGGGTTAATGTGTTTATAGCTCCATGGTTTCTCACTATGGAGCATGATTGGGTCTGTTAACTGTGTTTCTGTTAGGTCTGTAGAGGCTAAATGGAAGGATTGGTGCTGGGGGACCCAGTCCCTCTACGCATTCAATCGGGTGGACATTCTGTATCCAATTGCTTACTGCCAAGGAACTACACAAAGCCTACAAAGACATGGCCAAGACAGATGCTGATTGGTCTCTTCTGGGGGGCACCTACCCTTTTGTCTGTTTTCAACACTGTTCATGGGAGGGGGGACACAAAGGCCAATGGGAGGGTTTTCCCTGTAGAGGCAGATAGGCAGAGTAATGAATGTTAGGTCGTATATTTGGGCCTCAGAAGTTGGCTCATGAATTTCTACCAACTGTGACACATTTATAGATATGTTACAAAAATCTTTGCAAAGGCAGGTACAGAATGTAGATGTGGCTGAGACGTTGTTGAAACAACTGGTCTTTAAAAATGCTAATGTAGATTGTCAAGAAGTGTTGAAGGAAATTTACAGCCTGTGGTGACTTTGGAGCTTAGTCCCCATAACCACTTAACAACTCTTAATGACCATGTAGCCATAACAGCCTAATAACTCCATTTAGTGCTGAGAGACAATGAGTTAACCCTTTCTCATCCCTAG